TTTCTTCTTAATAATTCTTTTCATTTTAATGTTTCACCATCATCGTTGATGATCATAGGCCAACAAATATGGTTTCTCTCTGCCATCATGATGATGATTGTAAATGATCATTTGAAAATGACCATCGTCATCATCGAACAACATCGAACAACATTTGATCAATGAATCATATATTCAATGCAAAAAGCAAGCAAAAAAATCAAATTTCAATTTGAAATTAATACCTGTGTGTTTTGTTGGAAGCCAAGCATACAACAACAACAACAACAACGAAAAAAAAAATCGATTCGAATTTGATTGATTGATGTTTTAGTTTTTTTTCTTGATTTTCTAGCATTTGATTCATTCATTAATTGAAAATTCAGTTATTCAGCCTGTATTCAGTATACACACACAGGCACATAAATATCGTTATTGATCATCAATCGATCGATTGATTTTATTTGGTGGTGGTGGATAATTATTGAATATATATTTTTTCATTAAGGAAAAAAAATGTCTTTTGAAAATAAAACCTATACTTAATCATTACGCGCTCAAAAACAAAACAAAAAAAAGCCATTTGTGGTTGAATGTTAAAAAAAACATTTTTCAAATGAATTGAAAATGAATGAAGTAAAACGGGTAATTTACTTTCATCAATATCAAAAATCTTCAATAATACTGTATATAGATTCATTGCGAGAAATTTCCCCGGTAAAAGTGTTTACAACTATTGAAAAAATTACTTGAAAACTTTCTTACATCCATTCAAGAATAGAAAAGCCATTTAAATGATTTAACATGAATATGAAAAGCATCGTCGTTTTTTTTTCTTTGTTGATGATCAATATCATTCATTCATTTAAAGGTTTTGCAAAGAAAAAAATCTTTAAATCATTTTTTTTTTGTCAAATCCATTGTATTTAAAAGATGAATGAATGATTGGTGATAATAAGTTAAAATCCTTCCCTCCGGTGGTAAGTGATAATATGATTATTGTCCACCATCATCATCATTATCAACAGGATTCATTTTCTTTTTGAATCCATTCATCTTTTTGAATTTCTATTTCGACACAAAAAGGAACTAAAGTAAATTGAAAATTATCACTTAAAACCACCACCATCACCAAGAAGAAGAACAAGACAAAAAAAATGTTCAATTAATTAATCATTTTTTTTGTTTTTGTTATTATTTAAAAAAGATACTCAATGTAAATTGAATGTATCACAAACATCATCATTTATATTCATATAGGATTATCACACAGATTTTTCCTAGCCATTATTATTCATCATTATTATCAATTTTGACCAGGTAAAAAAATGAGAGCAAGACTGAGAGATTGACACTGGAAAATTCTCAAAAAAAAAAAAAAAATGATCAATGGATTAAGTATGCTAAGTATTGATAATGATGATAATTTACATTCAATTTTGTTATTGATTATTTTGATGTTTTTTTTCGGGAAAAATTCTTTCCAAAAACATTTCTTTTCTTTCGGTCATTGTTGTTGCGGCTTTTTTTTGAAAAGTTTTTTTCTTCTTCCAATCAATAAAAGAAAACTTTTCATTTATCAATTTGAATTGAGAATTTTTCTCACCTTAACTGATCATTTTTCAAAAACGAAAAAAAAATTATGACTTTTGAACATCGAGAGAGATCCTTTTCTTCTGCCGCTGATGATGATATATAATTATACATCTTGCGGACAATGAATCTTGGCTTGTCACTTGCTTTTTTTCGCCATCAAAAAATCAAAAAAAAAAAAATCATTTCATTTTGATTTGATTTCACGAAGAAAGAATTCAATAAGCAAAAGTGTGTTCCAGTTTTCTCAGTTTTCATTCATTCATTATAAAATATTTTTTTTGTTCGAATCGATCAAATTTTCAATTTTTCTTCTTCTTCTTTTGAATGTTATCAAATAACATTTCTTTTTCTTTTTCTTTTTCATCATCATCAAATAAATATGACACACTTGGGTAGAAATAGATAGAAATTTGATCTATATATAAGAATTATTATCATCTATCTTTCTTTTTTTACCGGGGAAAATTCTGATATTTCTTTTTTTCTTTTTTTTGTAGTACAAAACAAACAAAAAAATCTTTCAAATTTTTATTAGGTCGAAACAAATCATATCATATTCGAAATGGATGGATGTTTCGATGTTCAAATGATAATAGTGTGTTGTTTGGCGATAATTATATAAGTTAATGAGATTGACATTGGCTTGTTTTAATTTGGCCAAGTTTTTTTTCAAGTTGTTCAAGATAAGTATGCCAGGTAAGTAAGCTTAGCAAGCTTTGAAAGCAAGCAAAAAAATTGCTCCATTTTTTCTTTTTTCTGATTGATTTTTTTACAGAAACATTTTCTTGATTCGGAAATCAAAACATAAATGAATGATGTGTGTGTGTTTTGAATGATAATTTTTTTTTTGCTTGTAAAAAAACACCTTTTTTCAGTTGTAAAATATTTATTATTTACATAAATGACAAGTGTAGTAAGTGTTTTTTTGATACGTTGTTGTTGTTGTTTTATTAGATGTCAATTAGAGAGAGAGAGAGAGAGAAAAGTATTTTCAATGTGAATTTTTCTTGATGGTTTTGTAATAATAATCATAGTAATTGAGCAACAACAACAACAACAAATCAAATCGATTGAATTGAATATCGATTATGATGATTAGTGGTGGTTTTGCCAATTGTCTCTGCCAATGTCTCTTGATCCAAAAATTTGCAAAATCCATCTTTTTTGCCGTTTCATAATCATCATACGATGTGTTTATGGTAATTTTTTTTTTGCATACTTTCCCCCCTAATTTTTTTTTGATGGGGGAAAAGGCGCCAAAATATTTAATAATTACGCCATTTGATCATTTGAAGAAGCTTTTTTCAAAGCTGTTCATTCAAGTTGATCGGAAATTCTCTTATTCTTCACTTACTTATAATCACTGGCCAATCATTTTTTCGTTCGTTCAATTTTCATATTTTCTTTGAAAAAAATAATAATCATCATCATCGAATGAATGAATGAATGGTCAATTGATTCATATTGGTCGTTGATTTGAGTGAATTTTGATTGGCAACAAGGCACGAATAACAACAACAACAACAACAACAGCGAAATATTTGAAAAAAATCGATCGATCGATCGATCGATCGATATCTGATATGCATGAGTTAATCGATTGAAAAGATGTTATTTTTGTTGTTGTTGTTGTTGTTTGTTGGTAAAGTATTGTCCACATTTAGATCACAAAAAATCAATCAATCAATTGATTTTTTTTTGATATATTAATATAAACGATTATTTGGGTTGAAATAGATCTGACCATCTTTTCTTCATTGTTGCTATTTCTACCTTTGTTGGTTGCCAACCAAAGCAATAGGCAATCAAATTATTATTATCTGATCATCATCAGTGATCGAGAGAAAAAGAAGGCGAAAAAGAAAAAATTCATTTGATGAAAATTGGCCATCGATGATGATCATAATAATGATGAATAGTTATGTAACACTAGTGGCTATTCACACACCAAGCCATCACACCACTGTGTAATCAGATATTCATTCATTTTTGTTTGTCAAAAACCGAAAAAATGTAAAAAAGATTGAAAAATGTCAATCGATGATGACCACAATGACTATTCTTTTGATTTCTTTCTTTTGATTTTCGATTTTTGGCTGCCCAAAATCACACAGGTCAATGGTCACAAAGTGTATTTATTGAATGGAAATATTGTTATCATCGAAGAAGAAAAAAAAATCAATCAAAAATTCAATAGGAAAAAAAAGGTTATTGTTGTTGTTGGTTGTTATGTAACATAATTTAAGGATGGTGTTATCTTTGTCATCGTCAGATAATAATAATGGTCACACTTTTCTGATGTCCACCACCACCATCACCACCACCATTATCATCAACACTTTGCGATGACACATTCAAACTATTAAAATATCGATCGATCGATTTGATTTGATTTGATTCGATCTATATTTAGAAATTTCATTTCTTTTGTTGTCACATTTTGAATTGGAGAAAAAATATGGGAAATTTTCCGGGAAAAAAAAATTCCTGGAAAAATTCTAAATAAATTGGATTAATCAAACAATAATGATAATAATAATTTTATTTATGTGTGACCCACAAAAAAACTACATTGACTTTTAAATTGATTTCCAATGAAAAAAAAACTCCAATAAAGATAATGATGAAAGGATTTTTATTGAAATTTTTTGATAATAAATAAACCACTGTTGATGATTAAATATCAAGTTCAAATATTCCAGTTTTCGCATCATCGATCTAATATGTCTGTGTTTGGGTTTGGAATCAAAAAAAGGAATGTTCGGTGTCATACAAGTTGGTATCAGATTAGCTGAATTTAGACAGGCAAAACCCGATAAATGTCTGAATGTGAAATGATAATAATATAAAATCGAGAAAACCGATCAGATTTGATCATTTCTTTTTCGGTTTTTTTTTCGGATAATTATTATTCAGAGCAATCATCATTTATGACACCACAGTAACCAGTAATAACAACAACCAAAGGTAAAGCCAAATAATGATAAGAATTTTATTTTATTTTATTTTATAATCTTTCTTTATTTATAATATCAATTTTTGTGGATTTTTATAAATGATTGTAACAGATATTTTGAATTTTTTATAAATTTTAAATTTTGGCGCCCAAATTTACGTGGGAGGAGCAAGTAGGAGGAGTCTGAAGTGGTGTGAATGATAAGAGAGAACAATTAAAGAAAGTGGGCGTGTGTTTTGGTGTGATTTGGTGTACTTTCAATGTATGAAAAAACAAACGACTATTTGATAATGTGAGATGTTTATGTTACAAAAAGTAAAAAACTGTAAAAAAATTTTTACAAACATCAAAGATATGTGAAATTTAAAATGAAAAAACTAAATGAAAATCTAATTGAAATGAAAATTTCCAAAATTGGCTATTTCAAGAAAAATTATTTACAAAAAAATGTTGATGACTTCCATTTTTATCGCACTATTGGCAGTTGTTTTTCGGGAATTTTCCCAGAAATTTTTCCCAGGAATTCTTTCTTATTTTGATTAACGTAATGGCCGTACTAAATTTGCTGCAACATTACCATTGATTAGCAAACAACAATCATGACAATAACCAAATGATGTAATCAAACCATTCATCTGATAATTACGACTGCAACGTAAACATTTTTCCAATGTTGGTGATGCTGATTGCGATGATTGATGCGGCGATTGACGTTGTTGCTGTTGTTGCTGCGTTTGTTCATCATGCGTTTTCATATGTGCACGTAAATTACATGCTAATGCAAATCTTTTTTGACAGATTTCACATTCATGTGGTTTATCTCCTATTTTAACATTGTTTTTTTTTTGGTTATTAGGGTCAAAATAGAAAAAAAGATTTCAAATTAAAGATTTTTTCAAAATTCAATCAAAGAAACTATTGAATTAGATTAATCATCATCGCCTGACCATCATCATTGAATAATCGAATTGATTAACACCCTCACACCATCCTCACACAATGATCTTTTCTTCTTTGTGAATGGATTTTTTAAATCCAGTTTTTGTTCAAAAATCAATTTATCATTCGAATTGCGTTTCAGCATTTTTCATTCTTCAAAAAAAAAAAATTGAATAAAAGATAAAATGAATGATGATCTCTCTCTCTCTTGGAAAATGATATATATTTTTTCTTCAATCGAAAAAAATCGATCATTCAGCCATCAACATTATACCGTGATTTCTATAATTAAAAATCACTGTATCGATATATTTTTGTGAACAGACAGAACAAAAAAGAAAAAAACTTGTTATAATTTACAATCATCATCATCATTTGAACAGGATTTTTTTCATCTTCATCGTTTTCTTTTCAATGAATGAAAAGATTTACCTGTGAAAATTAATTTGATGATGATGGCATGAATTTCATAAATAACTAAATCATCATCATTTTTGTGTGCCATAAGTGTCTTTTGCTGAATTGAATTAAATGATGTCTGCCAGTGTCTGATTTGTGTTTTTCGGCGGCGACGGCGACGGCGACAGGTATCATGATACGGAATCAGTATTTTTTGAATAATCGATTGTATCGATTATACAATCGATTATTCAATGGCCGAAACAAGAAAATGATATTCAAAACATCGATACATATTACCGGTTATTATTATTATTTTTCAAAATAATAATAATAACCCGTCAGGATAAAGAGAGGGGCAAAAAAAATAATGGCCAACAACAACAACAACGAATTACATCCATATTACCATTCAATTCATTTATTATGTATGGATCTAGATCTTTTTTTCTTTTTTCTTTTGTTGATCTAGATAAGTAATGTAAAATAAATTATTCATTCATTCATTCATCTCCAACAACAACAACAAAGAAAGAAAGAAAGATGTGCTGTTCTCATATTGATTACAATATCGAATGCTGATCATCATTTTCTCTCTCCCTCTCTCTCTCTCTCTCTGCGTCCGAATTTGAATTGAATAAATGATGCTGATGATCATGATTAACAACAACAGCAACAACAACAAAAGCCGGGTAAAATGAATGGAAAGATAAGATTGGTTTTTTGGAAAATTTGGTTTCATTCAATCAATAATAATAATGATGATGATTGTTCGTTCAGAGATTTTCACGATTATTTTCAAACTCTACATTACAAATCAAAAGAGGATAAATATGGTAGGATGTTTTTTTTTTAAATTTACATCTGTAATGGAATGAAATGAATGAATTTTGCTCTGAATGTTTGTAAATTACGGAATTTATGAATTTTTTTCGCTGTTGTTGTTGTTGAATTCACAATCAATAATTATACCCAAAGTAATCAAAAAGTCAATTGACCCGGTTTTTTTAGTGAATGGAAAAATCAAAAATCTCCACTTTATTCACAAATTGCGATAATTTGAATTTGATAATTTCGTTCTAGGAAAAAATTTAACCAACCACCACCACCACCGCTATTAACAACAAGATAATCAAATTCATTTTCAAAGAAATTTGCTTTTTTTCACAAAATCTTAATTAGAATCAAACAACTGTATTTATGAATGGGCCAAATTTGAATATTATTAAACAAAAATTTGAATAAAATTTTTTTGTTTTTTTAACGGGGTTTTTTTTTCTTCTTTCAAGCAATTCATACATCCATCATCGACCATCATCGACCATCATCATCGATTATCATGATTATTATATATCGGGATTCATTAATCAGGTAATTATAATTTTTTGGAGAACAAATTAATTGCAATTACATGGATATACCTGTGTTATTAGCAAATAGAGAGAGAGAGAACCACACCTATCGATAAATTTGTAATTAAAGAAATGAAATTAAGATAAACATAGCAAGATAAACACAGCAAGAGAGAGAGAGAGAGAGAGAGAGAGATAACAAATGTAGATAGCACCCTGAATTTAATCAAGTTAGACATTTTTTGTTGTTGTTGTTTGCTGTTGATTAAGCTAAACTAAACTAAAGAAAAAAAAATTGTCATCATCAAACGTCATCATTAATCGAAAAAAAACGACGACGACAACAACAACATTGCCTGATTTTTGCAATTAAACATCAATGATGGTGGCTTGTTTGATGGTCAAGATACGAGAAAAAAAGATGGATGTGTGTGTGTGTGTGTCGAGCAAATCCAATCAATCACACAGAAAGTAAAACAGAACAACAAAAAAAAGAGTTTCGCTCTTAAATTGTCAACTTTTGTGTGATATTCAATGATCATTGAGAAAGAGTGATGATTAATAAGAATTTCTATCAATCAATGAATAAAATGCCATACCTGAATGTAATAACATCTTTGTTTTGGGTGATAAAATTATGAAATTCAAACGAAGAATCGAATGATCCAGTTAAATGATGATAATTCAATGATGAAGTGAATCAAATGAATGAATGAAGAAATGGAGGAGGGCAAAGGGTTAAAATAAGAAATAAGAAATAATTTAATTCAATTAAGGTTAAAATAGTTGAATTTTTTTTAAAAGTAAACTTACATGATTACGAAGATTAGTTTGTTTACTAAAACCACGATTACAAATGGAACATTTAAATGGCCATGAACCATTATGTACATACATATGGCTTTTAAGATCACCTGGTGTTGGAACTGTAATTATTGTAGTTGAAGAAATATTTCCAGGAAAGAGAAATGAAGAAAAAGTTTGAAATTAGCAAGAAATTTCCCAGGAAAAATTAATCCTTTTTTGTTTACTTACATGACTTGGAACACAATTGACAAGCATGTGGTTTTACCTGAGAAAATTGAAAAGAAAAGAAAAAATCAAATTAAAATCGAATCGATAATGACATTGAAAACTTGTTGCGCTAGCTTGTTTACACACTGCGCCACACACACACACAGCACGCGCAACAGGTAATTTTTCTGTATGAAACTTATGGAAAAGTTTTTTCTTGGCTGGATGCAATCAATGTTCAAAACAAAAAAAAAAAATTGATGCTGCTGTTGAAAGATTTATTATTGATGAATTTTCGTGATGATCGTGAGCCTGACTTACTGACTAATTTTCTAGATCAATTAAAACGTTACCAACCAACAATCGAAAATTGATTGAATGAAAAAAAAGATTGATTATGGATAATCGACAGAGAAAAGAAAAGAAAATGTCAAACTTGATATTCATCTAACGCAGACAAAAAAAAGAATAATGGAAGGAAATTTGAATGAAACCAAAAACCAAACCAATGCAAAACCGAAGCAAACAAAATCGATCAGTTTGCGTGATGCCATTTTTGGAAAAAAACAAAAACAAAAAACCCACAAACATAATTATTAATGGCTACCGAATTTTTCTAATTAAGAATTATTCTTTTTTAAACTACAAAAACCAGAAGAAAGGCACAGAAGAAAAACTATTAATCAACAAATCATGCATGAAAATGTAAAATGAATTGAATTGAATTGGATGGTGATTGGTTGGTGATCATCATCAATCAAAATATCCAATAACGTATTTTGTGGATGATAATGAAAAAAAAACTAAACTGAAGAACCATAAGGGCCATTACTATTTTTTTTTTTTTGATTGAAAAAAAATTAGGTTGTGTAGAAATAGTTTAATGATGATGATGGTGATCATCGATCGATCGATCGATGATGATGATGATAATGGAAAAACTTATTGACCTCAATGATGATGTTGATGATCATCACGACTAACTTTGTTGAACAACAACAACAAAGAAAGAAAGAATTTTTAGTTCATTCATTTCGGATCAATGTTTTTTTGTTGTTGTTGTTTGGCTAGTAAGGTTAAAATAGATTTTTTTTTTTGTTCAAAAGAATCAATCGATCGATCGATTAAATTGAATTAAATTTAAATGGAAATCATTATGTAACCAAAAAAAAAGTTAATCAATCGATTTTTAAATGAGAATTTTTTTCGGAAAGTTTCTTTCCAGAAAAGATTTTTTCCCACACACACTTTCGATGATGTTTTAAATATCACACACACACTATTATTATCAAACTAATTAGTCGAACAGCATCTTTTTGGCTGTCGATATAGTCAACATTGTCTGGACAAATGGCGACAAACATATTGAAACAAGGAAAAGACATTATCAACGAAAAAAAATTTAATTCAAGGTTTTTTTGTGGTAAAAAACAACAACAACAAATTGTTGTTGTTTTCAACAAGCCAAACAGAAATAAAAAAAACCCCAGAAAATCAATCTAATTGCCATTGAATGGATAATTATAATTCTGTTTTTTTTTTGTTTTAATAATAATCATTATTTGATGATAGACAAAGGTACTTTACCTGGCTAAATTTTCAAAAATTTTTTTTTCTTTTTAAAATATCCATCTGTACCATACGCACACACTATTATCATCCAATGACGATTGGTAATATTTTTTTCTTGGTCTTGGTAATCATTATTATCATCATTCGTAGATCATATTGGTGGTTACATTAGATTTTTGTGGATAATAGCGGCTATTGTAACCTAATGGTAATCAAATGTAATATATAATTTATATTTGTCTATATGTCTACCCCACCATCGCCACCACCAGCTGAAAATGAAATGATCTTTTTTTTTCTTTCATTCTGGCTCTGTTTGTTCGATATGATGATGGTAATGTATAGTTACCTGGTTGATGATGGACACACATACCAATACAGCAGCAGCAGCAGCAGCAGCCATCATGTCTAATACCAAAAGAGATGATTATGATGATGATGATGGTCAATATCATCATCATCGTCATAATGGTAGTTCAAAAGAATAGAAAACTATACACACACACACACACCTTAGTTCAATGGTTCAATTAAAGTTTCTGCAGTTTTGAAACATTTTTCTTTTGAAAAATTTTGAAAATTGCCACTGTCATTGATATGATAGAATGTGTATGGTGTGCAACAAGTATGGTGTCTATTTCGACCGAAAGTATGTTTATAAACTACAACAAACAAACGAACGAAACATATAAGGGTCAAAATATTATTATTATTATTTTTATAAAGGTAGTGCACTACCTTTATTCTTCTTTTTCTTTACTGATTTCGTTTGTTTCGTTTGTTGAACTGAAAGAATTTCAAACAAACAATTTCAATGTCTAGCTATGATGATGATAAGTTTGAAAATCATAATCATCATCATCATCATTTCTTTATCTGCCTACTGGCATTACTCGTTCATTATTATTATTATTATTATTATTATTATTGATCATCATCCAAAAAGAAGGTATGGTTGAATCATGATGGATAATGTCAGGTGGATTTGATGATGGTCAGCCATTATTATCATTGTCGACGGAATGATACCCTCCGAATCAAAAAAAAAATATTTCAGGTATGGTAACCACCATTATCATCCATTCAGAGAGATAGGAAGAGAGAGAGAGAAAGAGAGAGATAGAGAGAGAGAGAGAGAGAGAGAGAGATTGGGAAAGATAATCATCATCATATTCACTCTCGGTTTTTTTTTGCTATTTCTACCTTTATCTACTTCGAGGTTATCTCTGGATTATTATCATCATCACCATGATTACACATCATGATCATCAAGAGAAAATCTATTCACGAACAATAAGGTACGATATTTTTTTCAAAAATCAAAAAGACACCTGATGATGATTATGATGATGATGGCTTTGGCTATTGGTAAAGAATTTCTTCATCATCAAACCTACCCTTAACCTTCCTTTACACCTCCCTTATTTTTTTATTTTTCTTTTGGCTACTGGAATTTTTGCTGTTTTTCATTTTCAGATTTTTTTTTGATTTAAAATGAAATTTAAGTTTTCCTTCGTTCGATGAATAGACATTCAACGTGTATGAAAAAATCATGATTTTTGATTTTTGATTTCAAAAGTCATAATACCTATGATTATGAAATCGTACAAGAAAATCGAGATAATTGTTCAATGATGATGTTGAAATAGATTCTATTCTATTTCGACTCGATTCGATATTTTTCCTATTTTAACCAGAAAACAGTAGCCAAGAAGAGATAAGTGGCAAATGATGATGATGAAAAAAGACCATTATCACATATAGATCATCGACAAAAGGTAATCATCATCACGACGACGATGGTTGATACAATTATATTCTTTTTTTTCCAAAAATGGATAATGATAACAATTTTTTTTTGATTTTTTGATTTGAAATTTGTATCAATGCGATTGGCTACATTATTAGAGAAACGGAGATGGACACGACAATCGATGATCGATATCGATAGTGATAGAAAAAGAAGATCACGTTTTAGTAGATCAATATCATCATCATCATTTTAGATTAGTTTGATTTAATCCATAGAGCTCCTCATTGCCGCCGTCAATTTTACATCATCGACAACAACGCACACAGTGTTAGTTGCTGGTACAAAAAAAGCCGCGGTTTGTTTGATTGAAATTCTTGATTTGAAAAAATCGATAATGTTCATCATCATCATCAGGATCAGGATTATTAGGATCATCAGGATCATCAACAACAACAACAAATTAAATTCAAAAATCCATTGATAATGACGTTGTTGTTGTTGTTGTTGAAGAAATTCGGTAGCCAAAAAAATCATTATCGTCATCATCATCATCAGTAGTAGTAGTCGAACAACACAAGAGATTATTATTATTATTATCATTTGGTGTGGCTTGTACAACAACAACAACAAGACTGTTTTCTATCTATCTTTATCTCTCTGTTTGCGCGTGGTGTTATCAATCTATCTGATCTGTTGCTTGGTATGGTAAGGGAAAAAATGATAATAATAATGATGATGATATACCGAAAACAAGAAAAAGAAAAGAATCTTGAAAGACGGATAAAGTCAAGATAAAAAAAAAAGTTGAAAATCAGTGCCAGAAACAACAACAACAACAAGAAGAGAGAGGAAAAAATCGTGACCAAAAGTCACGCAAAAGAAATCTCTTGACTTTCAACCAACCTGTATTGAAAATTCAAAAACGAAAAAAATTAAATAAACCACCACCATCACCACCACCAACAAATCACTATGGTTTGTTTGAATAATGAACGAACAAACCTAAAACATTTGGCTTCCGTGAACATACAGTAGCCTGATGATGATGATGATCACCATGATGATCATCAATAACATTCAATGTTTGAAACATTGAAAAATTCCAATCGATCGCCGCGAAATTGATCACCAAAAAAAAAACAAATTCTTTTGCCAACCAAAATATTCGTAATCATATAGTAAAAGACTTTTCTGAAATGATTTTTTCCCTCATTCTTCGGTTGATTATTATCATAGAATCTCAGGTAAGAGAAATGATCAATTAGTTTTTACCTTTAGTGAAAAATTAATGATCAAAAATAGCCCATAGAAAAAAAGGCTACTGTACAACAACAAGGTAGTTTGTTTTCACCTGATGATGATGATGATGATAATGACCTGGCTGAATTTACCTGAATCGTTTTTTTGGTTCAGGTAATATTTTCACTTTTACCTGGAAAACAATTTTTTTCCCTTCATTTTAATCATACAGTTTTTTTTTTGGTCAAGTTTTTTTTTCGGTGGGAACAAGTAACTTACGACACAGACAGGAGAGTAAAGGATTAAAGAAAACATTAAAATTTGAGGGGAAAAAAATGGATTAAAAAGTTCAACTATTAATCCCTTTCTCTCTCTCTCTTTCACTGATCTCCTTTTTTTTCAACTGCTAAAAACATTTGATCAGATAACAACAGCAAAATAAAAACCCATAAATATTTAGACAACAACAACAAAAATCATCAAACAAAAAAACAGAAATCTCATTTCACATCCACTATACTTTTTTAAGCATCTTTTTTTTACCGCTGCCGCATCATTGATGGTTAAATGTTGGCTGGTTGGTGGATTATTCAAGAGAAAAAATAAGCGGCCGGTCTTTTTTCTGTGATTTCGTAGTTTCGGAATCACTCTGTAGTTGTCTGAATTTTAAGATGATTTTTTAGCAAACAAACAAAGTAATGGAGGGCAAAAAAAATGATCATTCCATATTGATCGCCAAAATTAACCCATAATCCGATTGAAGGGGGGGAGGAAATTTTTTCGGCAAAATAAAATGAAATGATATGATTATTATTTCCGGAAAGTTTCTTCGTTAATAGTCGATGTAAAAATTACCGAATATTAAACTGAAAAAAAACTATTTCCACTCAGAACACACACAAACATAAACATGATAAATAAACTATTATTGGCAAAAAAAAGGATGCCGCCAAATCCTCTGTGTGTTAAAAACATTAACCCCCCACACTCTACTCAAAACAAAATAAAACAATGAAATGATATACACACACACACTAAACTTATCACATGAAGAAGAAGAACTAAGAAAATCTTCTTTGCTTTACTTTATTTGTTTATAATAACGATGATGATGATAATATTTTCTGTACAAATCGACAAGACAGTGTTATTTTTTTTTCTCTCCATTCATAAAAGTATTTTATGTCTGTTTTGTTTTGTTTTTGTTTGATTCGCGTCCGAAAAAAATGAACCGGGTATTAAAATGATCATAATAAACAAGTTGCACATCAATTGAGAGAAAAAACAATAATTTCCCGAAGAACAAAATCATTTTTCATTGTTTTTCTCAATGAAAAATAAAGTAATGAATGATCATTGATGCATTACACGAACGTAAAAACAACAAACGAAATGAAATGATGAGAAAAAGAGAGAGAGAGAGAGGTGTTAATATCGTTATCATTCAATCATGAAAACTAACTAACTAACTAACTAACTAACTAAAAGTCATCATTTATTTATTTATAGGTGTTAATTGAATAGGAAACAAAAACAGAAAAACAGAAAAATGTTGTTGTTGTAGTTGACACCTATCTAATTTCGTTTGTTTGTCACTAAACTAAAGTTATACACAGAGATACATAAGTAGAAATAGTGGTGGTGGTGGCCTATTGTGAAAAGGAAATTTAACCAACTGGAACGTTGCCGATTTTTTCGTTTTGTTGTTGTTCAAAACTAGCTAATTGATGTTTGTGGTTTCTTTAGACCGTGATGGTGTTGATAATTACAACCGAAGAATGAAGATAAGAGTAGTTGTTATACTTGGCACGTGTCATACATTTGACCTTTCACTGTGTAAATAGTTTTTTTTGACAAAAATGAATCACTTACCTTATTATGTGTCATACGATGATAATAAAGATTCGAACTAGCTGTAAAACGTTTTCCACATATTGGACCTATTATGGTAAGGTAAAAATAGCCAAAAACAATAGAAAATTTAAAATTAGATATCATTAGCATCAGCATTTTGTTGAAACATCTTTATCGACGTAACTAAGTAACACATTAACAAGATATCAATACCAATAGAGAGAGAGAGAGAGAGAGGAGAATTGTGTGATGTAATTCATCACTTTAGTGAGGGGAGAGGGAGAGAGAGAGAGAGAAATTTGTCGTAATTTTAAAATTTTCATTTTCTTATCTAATCTTTGAAAATTAAGAAATGCAATTTTGATGTGAATATTATTGATGGAAAAGTTTCCGAAAAAGAAGCATTTTCCTGAATGCTATTTAACACTCAATTCGATACGATAAATATATTTTATGGTAAGATTCATCATTATTATTATTTTTGCACATCATTATCACATCAACACTAATTATTTTAATGAAGAAAATTTTTCAGGAAAGTTTCGGAAAATATTTCCCATATTCGATATATTACTTACATTGATGTGGTTTTTCACCCGAATGTATACGACGATGTGTATTCAACGATGATGATGTACTAAATCCTTTACCACAAACATCACAAACATGTGGCTAAAAAAAATAGAAGAAAAATTTGAGAAATTTCCCGGGAAAAAAATCTTTTCCAAAAATTTGTTACCTTTTCACCCGTATGTGTACGCAAATGACGACGTAATAATGATGGACGATCAAATGCTTTACCACAATATTCACATGGTAACATTGTACGTTCACGTGGTTTTTTCACAACTAAATGATTAGCTAATGATTTCATTGTTTCAATATCTTTTAATACAATTTTTGTTGCTGCTGTTGATGATAATTTTGATTGATTTGCTGCAGCAGCATTTGTATTTTTTGCTTGTAAAGATTTTGTTGTCGCTGTTGATGATCTATTTCTATTTGTTGTTGCTTTCATTGTTGTTGTTGTTTTGGTTGTTGTTGTTGATTTAATCATTTTCATTGTCATTGATGATGTTGAATGACTTTTGATTGTATTTGATGATGATTCGGCTGATAAATGACCATCATCATCATCATCATAATCGTCATCAACTTCTTCTTCTTCTTCTTCATAATCATCAACAAAATCATCAACAATATCATCAACCATATCATCACCATTTCGATGTTGATGATGATGATTATCATCAACATCGATCATAATATCATCACAATCATTATCAACATTGATTTTTTCATCATCCTCCTCATTGATAATATCATCGATAACCGATTCAGGTGAACTTGGTAATCTTGGTTGATGTTGAGATTTCAGTTGAATTTTATTCTTGATATTGGTCATTGAGAGATCAATTGTTTTAGGTGTCGCTGTTGTTGTTTGCGAAATTGTTGTTGTTGATGATGGTGCAACAGCAGCAGCAGCTGCTGCTGCTGCCGCTAATGATGATAATAATAATTTTCTTGCTGTTAATATTTGTTTGGATGTCAGAAATTCTTGTGAATGATAATCTGACGATGCTGTTGTCGATGTTGTTGTTGCTGATGCTGTTGCTGCTGCGGCTGACAACATTGATGTAAATGGAAATGTAAAGGGTTGATGATTTTCATTTTGTTGTTGCTGTTGTTGTTGTTGATGTAAAAATGAATAAGAACCGGATGATGATCCAGATCTAGATCCAGATGATGATGATGTTGATGATATTGATGATGTTGTTGATGATTCAGATGGTGATGCTAATAATGACATTGAAAGATCAAGTGGACTATCTATAAAAAGATTTTTTTAAAAATTTTTAAAAATTACAAAAAGATCCCACATCGGTATTCCAGGGTTAATTTAAAAAAAAACAACTTACCTTGTAACGTTTGACGACAAATAAACGAATGATGATGATGATTAGGACGAAAAAATGTTGATCCAAACATGGATGGATAAAATTGATGAAATAATGATGTTTGTTGTTGTTGCTGATGTTGTTGTTGATAATTCATATTAAAATCATCAATATTTTTGAGATCATAATAAACAACAATTTCTTTATTCGAATCAATACGTTGTATACATTCATAAATAACTTCACCACGTATAATCCGTCCGATTAGATTAACATTTTCATTTAATAATTTAGTTATCGTTACAAAACGTATCCAATTACAATGACGAATTTTTTTATTTCGATCAATTTCACGTATTTCATCGAAACATCCGAATTTATTTCGTATCTAAAATCAATCAAGAGAGAAAATGAAAATGATGCAGAAAATTCAATTAATTCAAAATTCAAAAAGAATGAGGAAAAGTTTTCGGGAAAGAAAGAAGAAAAAGTTTTCTGAAAACGAAAGATATTCCCCAGAAGATTATTGATTGAATTTTTTCATTCGAAAAAATCAAAAGTCAAAAATCATTTATCATTTTTGAATTTTGCCCAATGATCCTTCTTCATATCGATCTTTATTGATTGTTATTTTCCCTTGAATAAAATATTAATCAATTATACTTTCATTCAAACATCTCAAAGTAATCATTCCTGGTCATTCAATGATCATCTTGAAGCCAGTATGGCACATTTTAAATTGAAAAATTATTTTTTTTAGATATCGTTTTTTGGCCATCTATTAAAAGGAATGTTTCGAAAGAAAAAAAATGTCAGAAACAGTGAGATAAAGAGAACACCAAGTTTGATATACGCAGCTGGAGGTTACATTTTTTTTTGTGAATTTCACAAACTTGGTTAGGTCAAAATAGTGACAAATTTTCAAAACCAATGACCTGGTCAAATCCTGGATGATACCTGTTGCTGGTTGACCACCACCTGACATCATTATGGTGACAATCAACCGCGAACAGGTGAAACAAAAAAAAAAAAAACAGAATCTCGAGAGATAAAGACTATTTCGAAATCAAAAAATCATTTTTCATTTCAAACCAGAAATGGAAAATTATCAAATTGATGATTATCACCATCAACAACAACATCAACAACATCGAAAGAAATATTTCCATAAACATTTTTTTGTTTCTTCTATTTATCATCTTTATAATCATATTAATTTTTTTCGAAGAAAAAAAATATTGATTATAATCAAAATTGTGAATGCAGGTAAGTAAGTGAATGAGAAAAATGATAAGATATATCCAAAATATATACAAGTTGTTGGAGAAAGTTTTCTTTCAATCATCATTATCATTGAATTTTTTTTTCAAGAATATCATCCTGTTATGAATTTTGTGTGACTTATTTTTCGCTATCTCTCTCTCTCTCCTTAAATCATCATAAGATCATCATCATCATATTCAATAATCAAATAATCTTTAAAAATGTCCAATGACAAAATAATTTATCATCATCATCATCATCATCGTTTTGAAATCCAACATTCAATCTATTTCATCAGAGAGAGAAAGAGGGAAACTTTTTGAGAAATAAACAACAACAACAACATAGGTACATATAGTTGCTGTTGATGAACATTATCCGTAAATAAGTATTTCGTTGCAAAAAAAAACAAACCATCAAATCTTTAATAATTTTCAATTAATCATATTTTTTTTGCATTTCATTTTGAAAAATATGTTTATGAAAATCTCTTTACATAAACCACCTTGATAATCATCATCAAATAAACACCATGGTTATCCTCTTATGGATTTTTTTCCATCTTTTTCTTCGTCCACTTTATCATTATCTGGTTGATGGTCATGACCATCATCATGATCGACCAGATTTCAAAGTGGAGAGGGGTTTTTTTTGCTGAAAAGATCAGATTTTTTTTCCATTTCTAGCTGATCGGTTGGTTGGTTGGTTGGATTTTTTTTCTCTGCCAATTCTGAACAACAACAATCAATAATTCGAACGATTTGAATAATCAATGTGATTGATTGGTTGGTTTGGTTAAGAATCAGAACTAAAAATCAATTATCGATCAATGATTTTGTGATTTCTTCATTTTCAATCTTTTTTTTTTGAAAAAAGAAAATTAATGATGTTTTTGTTTGCATCTTTTTGTTTTTCAAATTGGCACATGCTGATTGTTATGGATGATGATTAGGTTAGGTTAGGTTAGTCAGTTTGATGATGTATTATCTGAATGTTTGCCACAAATGAAAAATAAAAAATAAATCATCCACATCATCAACGGATGGACATTACCGATCCACTTGAATATTTTCTTCGAAATCAATTGATTTATCCATCATCATCATCATCAACCAAACAACATGGGCAAATTAATCAAAAGCAAAAACAAAAAACGAAAAAACATTTCTAGAAAGATCATATTTCATATTTCATAATTTTCAAAATTCAAAATTTCTTTTCTCTAGTTTTCAATTTATCAATTAGATTGAATATCGATAATGTCAATTATGATTTGCATTTGGTTTTTTTCAGTGTTTCAAAATCAAAAAAATCGCTAAAAACAGTGAACAAAAACGAAAAGACAAATCAAATTAACATCAAAAATCAGAAGAATTTTGGTGAAAGAATTTTTCTTCTTTTTCAATGTCAAAAAAGAGAGAGAAAAGACGAGAGACAGAAAAATTTTCTCATGAAGATTTTCTTCGTCTTTCGTCACAAGTTAATCACCATCATTACCATTATCACATGGTTTATCAAAAAAGTTAGATGACCGTTCTTCATTCGTTTTCTTCGTTTCACTGTGAAGATCATCATCATTTTATGATGATAATACCTTGACTTTTTGAAGAAGAGAAAAAAAAATCAAGTTCATAGGCTATTTTAACAGTCGTAACTTTTTTGTCATCGAAAAAGCCACCTACACACTAACACAGGATTAACACGATTTTTGTTCAATGATGATCATTTCACATGGAAAAAATTATGTTTTTTTTTCGTAAAAACATAACATTGTCAATGAATCTTTTGCAGGTAGCCAGGTGAATTCCTCTTGATGATGTAATTATTTTATCGATCAATCAATCAATCGATTGATCAATCGATTCTAATCTGGTTTCACTGCTGTTGGTGGTTCCAGAACCTAATTTGACCACCATTGATGAATCCGATGATATTGAAGATAAACAAAGACAAAGACGAAACTAACGTTTAATTTGAATGAAATAACGTTAACTGTTTTCAAGAAAAGAAATATTGTCGACAATCGTCTCGACAACATTCATCAATGTTTGTTTGTTTTTTTAAAGTTTTTTTGTTTGTTTTAAAATTGATTGAAATCGATCTATCGATCGATCGTTCGATAGATAAATATTGTCTTTTTTTTAAAAAAAACTGATTAAAATAAAATAAATGTGACATTTTCATTGTCTTATCAGATTTTCTTCTTTTCCATGTCGTTTACCTGCGAAAAATAATTTAACGACAACCAACCAGGTAACAGAAAAAAAACCATAGGGTTCACACAATTTTCGAAATGAATGAATGAATGAATGAAACTAACACTGACTGACTGATGAGGGAGATTGATTTCTAAATGTCAACTACCACCAGTTATCATTTTTATTGTTTTTATCGTTTCGTTTGTCCACTTTCTAAGTCCAGGATCTTGAAAGAAAAAGATCATAATAATGATAATGATGTCTATTACCGTATCTCTCTCTCTCTCTCTCTCTCTCTCTCTCTCTCTC